GGCGATGAGAGATATGCCCTCCCATGGCTGCCTTCTGAATGCCCCCCACCCCCAACAACACATTCGACTGTAAGCATTGGTGGATGATTCCCCTGATGAGTAGTTCCTAGATGACCTAGCCCCATGTCATTAGCCCTGTCAAAAAGACCATCAAGGCTAGCTGGCACAGACACTGCTTAGAAAGAGGAAGAGAAAGCCCAGTGGGGTGGTTCATGCCTGTGATCCCAGCACTCGGAAAGCTGAGGTAGGAGGATCAATGTAAGTTTGGGGCCAACCTAGGCTACATAGTGACTATAAGGCAAGTCTGAGCTACATATCGAGTTCAACCACACCCCCAAAACAAATAAAGAGGAAGAAAATGATTTTTGTATTTTAAAATATTTGAAAATGGTGGATTACCATTGTGCACAAAATCCAGTTGGTACAGATTTACATTTTTCATCATTCCTAATGCTGGCCAGGGTGCAATGAAAAGACACTTACGCTCATTTCCTTTTAGGAAGTAAATTGGTACTTTGTGGAAAACAATTTGGTTATATGAATCAAGCATCTAGTGAATAATCTCACACTTTGACACAAAGTTATTACTTCTGGGAGCCTACCCTTGTGAAGAAATGCAAAATGTCGACTACCCTCAAAGACAAGCCTGAGATGCTTATAAAAAGCAAAATACCAGGGAGAAACAATCTAAAAGCCCAACAAAAAGAGTGCTTAAATGAAGTTATGGTAATTTTAAACACTAAATACTTTACAGGTATCGAATTTATGCATATGAATATTTTTTAAAAATCAAGGCAATGAAACAAAAAAAATCCAGTCAGAATGCTTATAATACAGTATTAAATTAAAAAGACAAGTACAAAATTGTATGTGCTCTACAACCTGTACAGTAATATGTGAAATATGCAGGTTGAGAAAAAAAACAAATGAAAATGTGCCAACATAACAGTAGTGGTAGCTTCTAATTTGAGGAGATACTGAACAAAATGTTTTCCTGCTTCTTAAAATTTATCAGTACTTCCTAAACATTTTCTAATAAAAATGTAGTATTTTTAATATCATATAAAATTAATAGGCAGGAGATTGAAAACAAATATTTTATTTCTTATTTTTAAAGGCAGGGAGGGGCCGGGGAGATGGCTCAGTAGAATAAGTGCTTCCCTGGCAAGTGCAAGGGTCTGAGTTCAAACCCTGTTTCCGGAAAAAAAAAAAGGTGGGGGGGAGACGACCTGGGGCCCTCTGGATCCTGAACAGACCCAGAGCGCAGGCCCAGCAAGTGAGTGAGAGGACCGGAGCCGCGGATCCTCATTTGACCAAGGCTGCAGGCCCAGCAGGGAACCCTGCAGCAGAACTCCCTGCAAAGAGGCTAGAAGCAAGACCCACCCAGCTGATTCAGGAGCAGAGCATCTTCCCAGAGAGAAACAAAGGGTTCAACTCTAACGCCTGCA